GGTTGTATTTATTAAATTTTTTCGATAAAAAATAGACCAATGTTGACTTTGCCTTGGTTTGGTATTGACCCTGGTTAAGGTTGTATGTTTTTTTTTTTTTGATGATTTGAGGGTTGTCGTGTATGGATTGAGGAGTCGAGGAAAGTCGATCTTCACGCCAAGGATAGTTCAGACACTAAACGACATCGAGGTGAGTTACCTTCCTGTAGAAGTGGGTCTAGCGCACCAAGGTCGGCTAACTAGTAAGAGTTATATTTGAGATGATTGTCGTTGTGATAATTGTCTGGTCTGATTATTGGATATGTGGGTATGCTAGACTGCTAGATATGTGAGTATGCTAGTTTGCTAATTGCCATGTTATATGGGATACTATCAGTAAAAGGGGACTACTCTTCGATTCGGTTGTTAGGACTAATTGGTAGGTTAGCCACCGTAGATATGTCTGACAGCATGATTATGATATGATGTTATGTGTTAGTAGTAGGGGTGAAATAGTCCCCGTGTTCGGTTGAGATAGACCAGAGGGTAGGTCAGCACCCTAGAATAGCTCGACATGGGTAGGTCAGCACCCCAGAATAGCTAGACATGGGTAGGTCAGCACCCCAGAATGGCTTGATATGGGTAGGTCAGCACCCCAGAATGACTTGAAATGGGTAGAACGGGCGCCCCAGAATTGACCGGCCAGTATGTATGCTATATGATTGTATGGTATATGGTATGATGGGGGAACTCACTAAGCTTTGTGCTTATAGTTTCAGTTTTGGTTTCAGGTACCTCTTCGTCAAGGGGAAGGAGCTGGCGGTATAGCAGCGCATGACACATGCACACATGGTTTCCACTTAGAGTTTTCTTGGATTGTACTCTAATATTTCAATACTTCAGATGATATGGCTTTGAGACATGATACTATGGTTTTATGTATTGACATGATTTTGGAAATGTTTTGATAAGTTATTTTATAAACTGCCTAATTAAAAATGAAAATTTTGGCCTCAATTTTGGGATGTTACAAGTTGGTATCAGAGCCCTGGTTTGAGGGATTCGGACACACCCTTAGGGGTGTCTGGACTCAAACCGCGAGACTAAAAGATTTTTCACAAAGAAAACAGTTTCTAAAAGTTTAACTTAATGAAATTTGAGAAAAGACAGTGTGACGCATGCGACCGGCCGAGCTCAAGTAAGTTTTCCCCAAGATACTCATACTTTTTATGATGATTTATGATTCTAAGAACTGCATGCCAGATTAGGGCTAAGGATCTAGGAGGATGATTTGTACGCCTGATATATGATTTTGAGAACTTCATGCTAGAGTAGGGCTAAGGATCTAGGAGGATGCCTTGAATGCCTCTTGTATGAGCTGTATGCTAGGACTGTTTAGCCAGCGATAGGATAGCCTGATTAGGTTATGCCTGAGGTGGTTACACAATGCATGAATGCTGCTTGCTTTGTGCTTAAGGGGTCCTAGCTAACTTTAACTAATTAGCGAGCGGATATGTAACAGTATTTGCAAGTCAGTTAGGCAAGGGAAGTAGGGACTCCTAGTGTAGCTGATGGCGGAGAGTAGGTCGGAGAGTGCCCTAGGAAAGCCTAGGACGAGATTAGTGGGAAACGGTATCGGTAAAGGGATTTGGTGAAGTTGAAGCAATCCTTGACGAAAGTACGGATAGATGTGGAAGGTAGTATGGGCTCGTACTACTAGAAGCAGAGGATCCGTACTCGAGTCAAGGAGAGCCGAAATGGAACCCAGGTACTTGTAGAGTGTGTGAGACCTCTCGAGAGCATGTATGATCATGATGGTTATGGGTTTATTTGCAGTATGGCGATTACACGACATGGAGCGGGAGGTTTAGGATCAGGATCAGGATCAGGCTCGGGTGCAGGATCAGAGTATGTTGATGACGGGCTATGCGAGTTCATCGCGTCTGAGATCATGAGAGACATCTTTGGGTCGACCCCAGTTATTTTTGGGTCGATCACAGAAGGGATTGTTGAGTTAATGGATGATCACCTCCGAGCATTCAGGAGTGACTTGGCGTCCAACCAGTCAGGTACGCGCACATTGTCCTTTAGGGACTTCAGAAGGAGCGGGGCGTCGTATTTTCACGGGGTGAAGGACCCCATTGCTGCCAGGAGATGGATCGCAGACATTGAGTATGCACAGTTGATGAGCTTCTGCTCGGAAGGGTCGAAGGCCCGCTTTGCTGCAGGATGTCTGAGGGATAGAGCTAGAGATTGGTGGGACTCAGTTGATGACTTGTTGGGAGCCCCAACTGTCGAGGCTATGATTGTTGGATAAGGTGTCTAAGTCCATAACTATTTCTGGTATGTACTTGACCCGCCCCGGTATGGTCCATTTGGGTTGCATGGCACCATGCAATTGGATAAACTAAATGAGAGAAATAACACATTTGGTTTATTAATATATTATAAGTTCTAATATATTAATAATATTATTTAATTAGTTTGATCAAGAATTAATTTAGAATTAATTAAGTGATCAAAAGATAACTAATTAAATATATGGGTTGATTATGTAAATCATCCATAACTTATATAGTGGGCTAAGAGGCTCCATGGATAATCAAGTTGGTTTAAACCCATTGGATGGTCCATGGAGGCTCCATGGGAGTTACAAACCCATGGGTCATGGAAATGAAGAATCATGACACATTAGGGTTTACATGGTGTAACCCTAGATGTGGCAACAATATATAAGAGTCTCATACTCTCCCAAACTCGGTTAGACAAAAGAAACAAGATGGCTAGAAACAATTTTAGAGTGTTACACTTTCTCTCTAAGTTTACTCCATAGCATTTGGTGTTGTGTGAAGCATTTGAGGCATCACACTTGGGGTGCTAGGCTCACAAGGTTTCAAGGAACACTTACAACAACAAGGTATGTAATTCTATCTATTATTCAAGTTAAAATTGTTCCCCATGTATGCTAGATAGGCTCATAGCCTTGGAAATCAACTTTGCATGATAATTAGACAAACATAGATCCAAGGTTATTAGGGTTGCATGTACACTTCGGAAGTGTTAGAATGCTCAAAACCCATCAATGATGTGGTCAGATTTCATGATCAGATTTAGGGATGAGTTTACACCGGCTATAGAGCTTCAGCAACTAGCCAGAGAGTTCTTGGATATGAGGTAGACGACTGAGACGGTGGTGGAGATCACCGCCAAGTTCAGGGAGAGGTCCTTGTTGATACCCGAGTATGCGGGGGATGAGGAGATGTGGTAGAACCACTACCACGATATGTTGAGGGTTGATGTTCGGGAGCATGTCAGTTATTCAGCCTGCCCAACCCTGGAATCCATGATTGCTAAGGCGCGGGAGAGGGAGCTCGATTTGGAGCACGTTAGGAAGAGGATAGCAGAGACTGAGCAGGTGTTAGGGGTTTCGGGGAAGAAACCCAAGGGATCCAACATCAGGTCGAAGGGCTAGCCGGGCCAGAGCCGCTGGAGGAAATGCAACAGGCCGCATGAGGGAGTTTGTACAGCGGGATCATCAGGCTGCTACAAGTGCGGCAAGATAGGGCACTTTTCCCGGGATTGTACTGCCCCCACCCCCTAAGTGTAGATGTCAAACATGATTTGCTTCCATTGCAATCAGAGGGGCCATAAAAAGGCCAACTGCCCTAGATTGACAGCAACAGCGCCAACGGCGGCGCCGACCCCAGTGTCAGCACGGGTTGCGGATGGCCGGAAGGCCAAGGTAGAGGCTCCATTGGTGCGGAGCCACACATTCTAGTTGACAGCTGAGGAGGCACGCACTGCACCCGATGTGGTGACGGGTAAAATTTCTTTCTTATGCTTTTATGTTATGTTAGCTTGCTGTGATTTTGATATATTATGTATGTGTTCTGTTTAGGATCGTTCCATGTGAATGGTATCCCATTTCAGGTATTGTTTGATTCGGGTGCTACCCGATCATTTGTCTCTATTGTGCTTAGCAAGAAGTTTCCTGAATCTTCAGGCATGTTGGATTTCCCTCTAGAGGTTGATATTTCAGATGACCGGTCAGTGTGATCATCAGATTGGTTCCCTTTTCGATCTGGTTCCCATACATTTGCGGGGGAACAAGGTTATTATTGGTATGGATTGGCTAAGCCCCAATAGGATAGTGATTGACTGCGCATAGTAGTTGGTGCGGATCGGGACCCCAAGTGGGGGAGAGCTGGTGATTCAGGGCGAGAGGCCGGAACGAGGACCAACTTTATGTTCAGCAGCGAGAGCTAGGCTCTACCTTTAGTAGGTTTGCACAATATTTGTTGCTTATGTTATGGATACTCGGGAGTGGGTCAGGCGGCAGTGGGCGACGTGCCTATGGTAAGAGAGTTTGCAGATGTATTCCCTGAGGAGTTGCCTAGGATACCTCCGGAGAGGCATATAAAGTTCAGGATCGATATAGTCCCTAGTGCGGCTCCGATAGCCAAGGCACCGTATCGGTTGGCTCCTCCTGAGATGTAGGAGTTGTTTACACAGCTACAGGAGCTGTTAGACAAGGGATTTATTCGACCGAGGAGTTCACCCTAGGAACCCCAATTCTGTTTGTGAAGAAGAAGGATGGGTCGCATCGGATGTGTATAGACCATCTGGAGTTGAATAAGGTAACAGTGAAGAATCGTTACCCACTTCTGAGGATCGATGACCTCTTTGACCAGCTATAGGGAGCATCTTGGTTCTCCAAGATCGATTTGCATTCATGGTATTATCAAATGAGGGCCAGAGAGGAGGATGTGTAGAAGACTGCTTTTCGGACATGTTATGGCCACTATGAGTTCGTGGTGATGCCTTTCGGGCTCACCAATGCTCCTGCCGCGTTCATGGATCGTATGAACCGCGTGTGGAGACCGATGTTGGATCGGTCTATGATAGTTTCGATTGATGACATCTTGGTTTACTCCAAGACGCAAGAGCAGCATGAAGAGAACTTGTGAGAGGTTTTGGATACCTTGAGAAGGGAGAGCTTGTATGCTAAGTTCTCCAAGTAT